ACTCACATACTCACATACAATATATATATATATATATATATATATATATATATATATATATATATATATATATATATATATATATATATCACCTCCCAGATATATCTTTGTTGTTGCACAAAGCTTGGATACCCAGGAAGGGGCTTATGGGCAGGAGTTGCTTAATCTGAAAACAAAATCGCCCCCTTGGGTTGCGCCAAATCCTTCATGGCTGTCAATACAGTGGTGTTAAGACTTCCATCTGGCCTGAAAGTGGCTCCCCAAACCGCTAAACTCCATGAGCCGCTATCCCAGAGCACTCCGGTGGACTTCATTGACTCTACTCAATGATCTGGAAACGTCATTGGAATCTGTTTGGCCTCAAGTCTCCCATTAATTGGCCAGGAATGAGAGCGGGCGCCTCTGATCGTTTCCTCCACATAAATCCAACCAATCGGCACTCTAGTTGATTCCAGTAATGCAAGATCGCTGTTGCTTTTTTAGAATAAGAGGGGTGTCCGTGAGCCCATAGTGTTTTTGGGCTTATCCTAACCAGACATGATGCCATAATGCAGTGAGTGAAAAAAGCTATCTCTTTCATTTTTACTGTGGTGTTGTCTTATTCGGCCTATTTTTTAGTCACCCGTGTGACTTATTTTCTTTTGTGAATCACACAATGTGAAATTCTGAATAATATACTGGTTGCTTTTTCCATGCAATTGCAATGAATCAGGAATGGTTCAAGCTTCAAAAAGGACACCAAATGCCATGAAATAAAATATTTTATTTTATTTCATTTCATTTTTTATGTCACCTAGTGTTTCATTAAAAAAATCTATAAAATATTCAAAGCCTGAAGTCATACAAGTTCTGTAAACACCCCAATATAAGTTGATATTCTGTGCTTTTCTCCTCCAGTGAGCTGTTAACTGCTGCAGCCAGATCATTTAGTGAGCTGAACTCAAGAACTGGCTCAGTCCAAATCGTAAATCATTTAGACTGGTTTTGTGAACTGAATCAATGGATTCATTGAGGTCTGACTCAAAACAATAATTTGTTTCTGAATCAGGCATGCTAGCTAGGGTGAATGTCAAGATTAAATAACTATTCATTAAATAACTACTTAAATACATTTTTTTCCTTATACAAATATGTTGTATAGATTTAAAAGACTTTGAATATACTGATAAAAACGTAAAAAGTATTTTTACAATACTTCAATATTTTTTATTATATTGAAGAAAAGCATTTTTATTATTTAAAAATGTTTTTCGTTCCATAAAATATATTTAGTCATACAGGTTTGGAACAACATTAGGGTGAGTAAATAATTTTCTTATTTTTGGGGGGGATTAACTATGCCTTAAAATATTGTTTATTTTAGTGTAGACAGACAAATTATGTGACACTCGTCTTGTCTTGTTAGAATAAATTGTCTGTTTCAGTGCAGACAGACAAATTACTTGTCATGTCACGTCTGGATACTGTGTCAACTCGGTCTCTCTGAAATCTGTTGCTTTGTTGTAATTGTTTTTATGGTTGATCAGTACCTCTCATTGTCTGTGACACATTACTGTCATGTGTTAAGATAAGTGGTTTAGACTGACCTATGCTGGTTTATTGTGTGTTTTGGCTAGTATGTGTTGTGTTATGCTGTGGTGGTTTGCGATGACTCCAGATGACCCAAACCTTCCGTCAATGGTGCTCCAAAATAGGATGGTGTGATTTTAATGAGTCACCTTTCTCCTGCGGTTCAGCTTTTACTGGGACACCGTGCTCCCCAGTTTGACCCTCACCTCATGCAACTGCATCACTGACAGGTTCCACTAACCGTCATGGATGGTATTTTCTTTCCTAATCAAGTAATAAATAAACAACTTCCAACTGTCTTTTTAGGGGATGTTAATATTCACTGAGTCATTTGAGACTGCAGTCACTGGCGGTTTATTCATGAAGCCCATTTTAGATCAGCAGAGTTTTGTTTTGATTTGTTTGTGTGTGTTTCAGACAGAGCGAGAAACAGAAATAGTGAAATGTTATTAAATATGCTAATGGAAGCCAGGAGATGCAGATAGGGGGTGTGTTTATGGTTTTACTTAGCTGTAATTTAGAGACAAAACTGTTCCCAGAACATAGCTAAACCTTGAAGGTAAAAATGATTCATAAATTATTATTATTATTTTTTTTATAGGTCATGAACATTATGGGTCATGGTTAGTTTTATAGGAACTATAAAGTGGTTAGCTTTAATGGTAATACAGTTAACTATTAAATAATAATAATTATTATAGTAATAATAATTCATAATAGTAATAAGTAATATAGTCATAAATAATAATAATTATCATTGCATTATTGCTTGATGTTTTTGGTTATATATATATATAAATTATATATAAACAAAAAAAATCAAGCAATAATGCTGCCATTGATGTCTGTCAGAAATATGCCAATGTGCATTGAAAAAACTGAAAAATGTATTCCATTGTCAATGTAACAAAAATATATTTCTAATGCAAACAATTCAAAATACAATGCACATGGCCTGAAGAAAAACAAAAAACTATGCACAGCAAATTTGGCATGTAGGCGTGTGAACCTATATTGTTGGTGTGTCTTTATGAATGCATATTGCCGACATGTGTGTTGTATGTGGGTATATATACAGTAAAAGAGTGTGTGTGTGAAAGAGATTCAGATAGCGGGAGAGGGGAAGATCCATAGAGCTCTTTGGACTCTGAATAATGAGGTGCATGGTAAAAGATGGAGGTCATACAGGGATGCTTGCCCTCATTCATCAGAGCTGGAGTGCCTCCACAGAAAGACTCTTCAGAAACATTAAAAACTGCTTCCAGGGCCACACACTCATACACACACACACACACACACACACACACAGTAATCACCGACTTGGAGAAGTTGCAAACCAGCTACCATGTTCCAAAAGACTAATCTGGTTT